TTGTATGATATTTGAAAAATCAGAGATCAATTTTATTGGAGCGAAGAAGCCACTGAATGCTTCGAATTGGTAAAAGACTTGCTAACTTCTGAACCAGTTTTATCAATTTATTCACCTGTGGCCGAGACAGAATTGCATTGTGACGCAAGCTCACATGGTTACGGATCAGTATTGTTGCAAAGGCAAAAATCTGATAATAAGTTTCACCCCGTTTGTTATTTTAGTAAGCGTACGACTGCTTGTGAATCAAAATATCATAGCTTTGAATTGGAGGCATTGGCAATCGTATATTCATTGGAACGCTTTCGAATATATCTGCAAGGAATCAAATTTAAAATTGTTACTGATTGTAACAGCCTAAAGCAAACATTGGATAAAAAGGACATTAACCCGCGAATTTTGAGGTGGTCACTAATATTAAGAAATTACGATTATACACTTGAACACAGAACCGCGGATCGTATGAAACATGCAGATGCGTTGAGCCGCGAATTCGAAATCTTAATAATTACTGAAAATACTTTTGAACGCAACTTAAGCTTGCTACAGGACTTAGATGAAAGTATTATTGACATACGTAAGCGTTTAGAAGTAGAGGAAGAAAAACATTATGAATTGAACAACGGACTTGTCTATCGAAAAATTAACGACAGGTTATTATTTTACGTTCCTCAAACGATGCAAGAAAATGTGATCCGAGCCTGCCACGAGCAGATGGGTCATCAGGGCATTAACAAAACGCACGAATATTTGTCACGCATTTATTGGTTCCCGGAAGCACGTAAGAAAATTCAAAATCATATAATGAATTGTTTAAAGTGTATCACTTATGCTACGAACGCTAATCGAATTGAGGGTAGATTGCATTGTCTAGATAAAAATGATAAACCCTTCGTAACGATACACATTGATCATTACGGTCCTCTCGAAAGGACTGGGTATCGTCATAAATACATATTTGAAATAATTGATGCGTTCACTAAATTTGTGAAATTATATGCCACTAGTTCGACTAAAACAGAAGAGGTTGTCAAGCATTTGAAAAATTATTTTGCAACTTATAGTAGACCGCGAAGAATAATTTCAGATCGAGGTACGACTTTTACCTCCGATAGATTTAAGGAATTTGTGAAAGAAAATAACATACAGCATGTGCTAATAGCTACAGGTACGCCTCATGCCAACGGACAAATCGAAAGAATTAACAGATCGATTACCACTATTCTTTCAAAATTATCCAACAGTACGGCGACTTGGGATAAAGCATTGCACGACGTAGAATTCGCTATCAACAATTCCGTTAATCGAGCTATAGGTAAGACACCATCAGAATTGTTATTTGGAGTAGAACAAGTAGGCAGTACGTCGCACGAATTGCGTGTATTGTTAAAGGAAATTCTTGATAATGATGACCGAAATTTGGAAAAAGTGCGTAACTTAGCAAGTAGGCAAATTCAATTAACTAGTGAATATAATAAGAAATATTACGATAAGCGGCATAAACCCCCTACGACTTACTCTATTGGAGATTATGTAATGGTTAAAAACGTTGAAGTGACCGCAGGGATTAGCAAAAAATTATTGCCTAAGTTTAAAGGGCCATATGTTGTCAAGAAGGTATTAGATGCGGATAGATATGTGATAGAAGACCCCGAGGGTCACCAGCTAACGCAGGTACCGTATAATGGCATATGTTCGGGGTTAGGAAAAAAAACCACTGGAAAAAAAACCCCGGAAATAAAACCCCCGGAATAAAGACCCCCGGAATAAAAACCCCTGGGAAAAAAAACCCCAGGAAAAGAAACCCAGCAAAATTCAAATTCAAAATAATTTCTTATACAACTGCAAATTTTATTATTTTCAATGTTCATTAGCTCATTTCTTCCCTTAATCCCAGACATTCCTAATGAGTTTTTGTAGTTAAATGGGTAATTAATGAGCGCGGTAAAATAAAATCTCCTATTATTATTGCATTTTGCAAATCTTGTTGATAAGTGCACTTAATCGTAATTAGGCATTCTTAATGGGGTTACATTCTTTTCAATCCCATTGACGATGGTTTCTATATAAATTAATATTTTCAAAATAATTGTTACAATTTAACAAACTATGGAGGTGATAACTTCAAATAAAGGTGGTCAAAAGTTATGTTTTGGTGGTTACATGTACGTTGTACATAAACGATGTGCTAACAATATTCGCTGGAGATGTAATAAATATACTTCATTAAAGGTAAACCTTTTTTTATTTTTTGCCATTATACCACTATGGTCTATAGCGCAATCAAAACCGAGAACGAGACATTTCGTGGATTGCCACAGTAGAACGGTCAGGTATTAAAGTGTTCTACTTTGGCAATGCACGAAATATCTCGTTCACGGTTGTGATCCTACTATAAGTGTTAGGTATAACTTCAATAAATGAATATTTTAAATAAATTTATTTACTTTTTATAGTGCCGGGCGATACTCGTCACGTCGTTGGACAATGAGGATCCAGATTTACGGGCAGAGCATAATCATCCTAATAATGCCGAAGAAATCAATGCGGTCAAGTGTATCCAAGGTATGAAGGTTAGAGCTAGGGATACATTGGCTAAACCTATTCAAATATATGCCGAAGCTGTGCAACAATTGCCAAACTCGACACGTGCTGTATTGCCAACTGAAGATGCAATTAAAAGGACGTTGCGAAATCACAAGGGCGCTAAATTTCCAGATCCACAAAGCTTGCAAGAACTTCTTATTGAAGGTACGGTAAATTTGTAGTTTATTGGTATTTTGTAGAAACGTATTGCGTGAACATATATTAATTTTCCTTTCGTTATTTTTAGGCGACTGGCGTACTACAGGAGAGCCCAACAATGAAAGGTTCCTCCTACATGACAATGGACCAAATTCGGACGAGCGGGTGATAATATTTGCTACTGATGGATGTTTGGTCCATCTTGCGAATTCTACAGCGTGGTTTGTAGATGGGAACTTCTCTCTAGCGCCAAATCTTTTTTTGCAACTATATGTGGTGCGTGTCAAAATACAAGGACTTTTTGTAACATGCGCTTATAGTTTGTTGCAAAGGAAGACACAAACCAGTTACGAAATCATGCTCAGGGCACTAGTAAGCAGTTGCGAGGAGAGAAATCTGTTTCCAGATCCTCTATCAATAAACATGGATTTTGAAAGAGCTGCAATTCAAGCATTTCAGGCTGTATTTGGAGATCATATTACTATTCGCGGGTGCTTTTACCATTTGTGTCAGTCTACCCAACGAAAATTACAAGAACTTGGGTTGCAACGTCGCTATCGAGAAGATGAAGATTTTTCAAACTTTTGTGGTATGCTGGACGGCTTAGCCTTTCTACCTTTGGAAGATGTTGCCAGAGGTATGGAGTTTTTAAGGCAAAACATCCCCGAAGGTGCCGAAGACCTCGTGGAGTACTTCGATGCCACGTACGTGTCAGGGACAAATAGACGAGTAGGAAATGTCAATGATGATAATGTGCGGATACGAAATGTCCCGCCGGTTTTTCCTCCGCCTTGCTGGAATGTACATAATACCACCCTTCAAGACGATGAGCGGACTAACAACCATACCGAAGGTTGGAACCATCGATTTTCGACCTTGGTCGGCCAAAACCATCCCACCGTATGGGTGCTCATACAAAAAATGAGGCAGGAATTATCGACGGATGAAACCAAGGTGCAGCAGCGACAAATAGGAAGACAAATGCCGAAAAAGAAAAAGCCAGCTTATGTTGTTATGCAGGCTAGGCTGAAACTGTTATGCGAAGAGTATCGGGATGGAGTAAGGAATTTAGTAGATTTTCTAAATGCTGTTAGCCATAACATAAGATTTTAATAACCATACATGTACATGTGTTCAGTGATCTCACCTAATAATAACTGTTACCCTGTACCATAATGTTTTTTTATTCTATTTCAATAAATATACTTTTTTCATTATTGCATTAATTAATTACCCATTTCAATGTACCAACTCATTATTATGAATTGGGTTAAGAGAACTTATGAGTTAATCTGCAGTTGTTACCAACTTCGCTTAAATTTTGTTCGGGGTTTTTTTTCCTGGTGTTTTTTTTCATAGGGGTTTTTATTCCGGGGGTTTTATATCCGGGGATTTTTTTCCTAGATTCCATATGTTCCCCCGAAAACATGAGGAGATGGATCTCAACCAAATAACTTATTCTTTAACGTAAAGCAGGTAAGGAAGTGTTCGCCCACTTTACCCATTGAAAGTTGTTTGTTATTTATGATGAGTGATTTGGACATTGCCTTGACAATCCAAAAAGGAATTTAACTTTAGGAGTATTTGTTAATTATTTTATGATCTATCTTTTATTTTGTGCGTAAAATAGTGGAAAGATATCTTTCGTAATTTGTATCGTTAATCTCACGTATGATTCGAGAAAGCGATGCAATAAATTGATTCATTTGTTTATACATGAACTTTGTGTTCGATTATACGATGTAGTTTGTCTCTCGTATGCTGCGTATCTGATTGTATCATTTGTTGATATTGAACTTTGTGTTCGATTACGATGTAGTTTGTCTCTCGTATGCTGTGTATCTTATTGTACCATTGGTTGATATGAACTTTGTGTTCACTTACGATGTAGTTTGTCTCTCGTATGTTGTGTGTCTTATTGTATCATTTGTTGATACAGAACTTGAGGTTCGCTTACGGCGTTGGTAAGTAATTTGTTAATTATATGTTTTGAGCGAATCTAGGAAAAAAATCCCCTGGAAAAAAAACCCCGGATATAAAACCCCCGGAATAAAGACCCCCGGAATAAAAACCCCTATGAAAAAAAACACCAGGAAAAAAAAACCCGAACAAAATTTAAGCGAAGTTGGTAACAACTGTAGATTAACTCATAAGTTCTCTTAACCCAATTCATAATAATGAGTTGGTACATTGAAATGGGTAATTAATTAATGCAATAATGAAAAAAGTATATTTATTGAAATAGAATAAAAAAACATTATGGTACAGGGTAACAGTTATTATTAGGTGAGATCACTGAACACATGTACATGTATGGTTATTAAAATCTTATGTTATGGCTAACAGCATTTAGAAAATCTACTAAATTCCTTACTCCATCCCGATACTCTTCGCATAACAGTTTCAGCCTAGCCTGCATAACAACATAAGCTGGCTTTTTCTTTTTCGGCATTTGTCTTCCTATTTGTCGCTGCTGCACCTTGGTTTCATCCGTCGATAATTCCTGCCTCATTTTTTGTATGAGCACCCATACGGTGGGATGGTTTTGGCCGACCAAGGTCGAAAATCGATGGTTCCAACCTTCGGTATGGTTGTTAGTCCGCTCATCGTCTTGAAGGGTGGTATTATGTACATTCCAGCAAGGCGGAGGAAAAACCGGCGGGACATTTCGTATCCGCACATTATCATCATTGACATTTCCTACTCGTCTATTTGTCCCTGACACGTACGTGGCATCGAAGTACTCCACGAGGTCTTCGGCACCTTCGGGGATGTTTTGCCTTAAAAACTCCATACCTCTGGCAACATCTTCCAAAGGTAGAAAGGCTAAGCCGTCCAGCATACCACAAAAGTTTGAAAAATCTTCATCTTCTCGATAGCGACGTTGCAACCCAAGTTCTTGTAATTTTCGTTGGGTAGACTGACACAAATGGTAAAAGCACCCGCGAATAGTAATATGATCTCCAAATACAGCCTGAAATGCTTGAATTGCAGCTCTTTCAAAATCCATGTTTATTGATAGAGGATCTGGAAACAGATTTCTCTCCTCGCAACTGCTTACTAGTGCCCTGAGCATGATTTCGTAACTGGTTTGTGTCTTCCTTTGCAACAAACTATAAGCGCATGTTACAAAAAGTCCTTGTATTTTGACACGCACCACATATAGTTGCAAAAAAAGATTTGGCGCTAGAGAGAAGTTCCCATCTACAAACCACGCTGTAGAATTCGCAAGATGGACCAAACATCCATCAGTAGCAAATATTATCACCCGCTCGTCCGAATTTGGTCCATTGTCATGTAGGAGGAACCTTTCATTGTTGGGCTCTCCTGTAGTACGCCAGTCGCCTAAAAATAACGAAAGGAAAATTAATATATGTTCACGCAATACGTTTCTACAAAATACCAATAAACTACAAATTTACCGTACCTTCAATAAGAAGTTCTTGCAAGCTTTGTGGATCTGGAAATTTAGCGCCCTTGTGATTTCGCAACGTCCTTTTAATTGCATCTTCAGTTGGCAATACAGCACGTGTCGAGTTTGGCAATTGTTGCACAGCTTCGGCATATATTTGAATAGGTTTAGCCAATGTATCCCTAGCTCTAACCTTCATACCTTGGATACACTTGACCGCATTGATTTCTTCGGCATTATTAGGATGATTATGCTCTGCCCGTAAATCTGGATCCTCATTGTCCAACGACGTGACGAGTATCGCCCGGCACTATAAAAAGTAAATAAATTTATTTAAAATATTCATTTATTGAAGTTATACCTAACACTTATAGTAGGATCACAACCGTGAACGAGATATTTCGTGCATTGCCAAAGTAGAACACTTTAATACCTGACCGTTCTACTGTGGCAATCCACGAAATGTCTCGTTCTCGGTTTTGATTGCGCTATAGACCATAGTGGTATAATGGCAAAAAATAAAAAAAGGTTTACCTTTAATGAAGTATATTTATTACATCTCCAGCGAATATTGTTAGCACATCGTTTATGTACAACGTACATGTAACCACCAAAACATAACTTTTGACCACCTTTATTTGAAGTTATCACCTCCATAGTTTGTTAAATTGTAACAATTATTTTGAAAATATTAATTTATATAGAAACCATCGTCAATGGGATTGAAAAGAATGTAACCCCATTAAGAATGCCTAATTACGATTAAGTGCACTTATCAACAAGATTTGCAAAATGCAATAATAATAGGAGATTTTATTTTACCGCGCTCATTAATTACCCATTTAACTACAAAAACTCATTAGGAATGTCTGGGATTAAGGGAAGAAATGAGCTAATGAACATTGAAAATAATAAAATTTGCAGTTGTATAAGAAATTATTTTGAATTTGAATTTTGCTGGGTTTCTTTTCCTGGGGTTTTTTTTCCCAGGGGTTTTTATTCCGGGGGTCTTTATTCCGGGGGTTTTATTTCCGGGGTTTTTTTTCCAGTGGTTTTTTTTCCTAACCCCGTTTTGAGCCTAAGGTTCACATTTGAAATTTTTGTTTTTTTGTTGTATTTCGTATGGTAAGATAGATATAGGAAAATACCGTTATAAGTATAGTATTAATCTCACTTTTGTATGTAAAATTGTGTTTTCGAATTGTAAGTTATAACTAATTAGGATTAATTATACTCGTGTATGTATTTCTTTGTGTCTTGGAATTATGCGATTTCATATTTGTACGCTTGAGGTCAAGCTAAAGTCAGGATAGCCGAGCTGTAGCATGATTATTCCCTAACATTATAATTATAAGTTCTACAGCAGCTACCCTCACTTTCGCAGATGGCAAGAGAGCAGGTAGTTGAGGGATTAGACCCGACCACCCTGGACAGTAGTCGGTCGGAATTGGCACCATAAATATGTAGTCCGATTGTGTGTTACAATTCACTTTTATATTTAACATCAATATATATAATCATATAATTATGAAGGCTTTTAATCCTGACACCCCTACAATTGCAATAATTATTTAGAACATGTATGTTTTTCTATGTATGAGGAGGAGGACCATGATCTGTTAAGCGACGAAAACAATATCTTAACCGTAGGTAGGTTGGAACCATTTGAAAAATCTATCCTTCTTGAACATTCACATTTTAGTTGATAAAATATCAAAAAGTGTTATACCTTGTACAAGTATTGAAGTATCATCAAACGCTTCTTGGGAAGAGTTACTAATAAACCATGTTCAAGATAGGAAAGCATTATATGACTGTCGGTTGCCACTGCAGGAGAGAACGGCAGCAAAGAAAAACATGTTATGGGTTGAAATTCACAATTTGCTAGGAGGAGCTAAAAGTGTAGATGAAATAAAAGCCAAATGGAAATACCTGAGAGATTGTTACTTAAAAGCAAAAAGAAAAATGAATCAATACAAACCAAGCGGATCGGCTGCAGCTGGTATTCCCGATCCTCGATTCCTTGATGAAATTTTTAGATGATTCCAGTGATCGGCAACCGTAAGTAATTGTATAATTGTAATAATAAATTATAAATAATTAGTGATGCTACAGGACTGTCAGTTCTTTGCCAGCAAGTCCTCAATCAACTAGTTTACAGAGCACAGTTTCGACCCCTCGACATTCGCCCAGTCTGGATTCTATACCAGCAAAAAGTAAACATATATTTAATCTCTAATGCAAAAGTTATAATTTACTGTGCTATTTAGGAAAAAAGTCAGAAGATCTACAAAGGGGTATATTGGAAGCGTTGACAACGCCAACAACAAATGATGGTGTGGATGGAATATTGATTCGGATAGGTGACAGCTTGAGGAGATTTCCTTATAGAGATAGAACAAAACTAGAAATAGATATACTTCAAATGATTTATGACAGAGAGTGTGAATTAAATTTATAGTAATAAGTTACATATTTAGTTAAGTATATTTCTAAATAAGACGAACATAAATGTGCCTTGTTACCCAAGTAGCACAAACTTATATATAATAGATATTAAATATGAGCCATAAAATGTATAAAGAATGTATTAAATACATTCTGAGGAAACTTTTTTCTCCTATTAATATAATATTTTTCTTCTATTAAAAACATATTTAATTCATTTCAAACATATATTTAAAAACTACTAAATTCAAATAAAATACATATTTTCATAACACTAAATATTCTATTAATTGAAAAAAAAATAGATGTAAAATAGTAACAAAATATGTATAATATAGATAAAAGATATTCACAAAATACATATAAGTGCCAAAAAAAAAACATATTTAAAAGTTAAAAAATACATATGAAGTAAATACATGATCCTTACAAAATAGATATTATATAAGTCTGAAATAAATATTTAAGTTAAAAGAATACATATACTATACATAAATCAATACTACAAAATACAGATTAAAAATACTCTAAATATCTAAAACGCCTATATTTACAAATAATTACTGAACCTTGGAAAGTTGATCATTACTGTCTGCTGGAGCAGTACCGGTGCTTGATCTAACAAAAAAAATTTATTCATGAATAAATGTTTATTCCTATTAACTATAAGTGAACTAAAAATTGTGTAACTAAATCATTGTACTGAGTAGTCACTTAGCGATTTAGACAACATTTGTGCAAAGACATGAACTAGAATTTCATAGAATGCGATTTTCAAAGTCTAAAACCCAGGAATTAACTTTAAGATTTTTCGAACACTACCTAAGTGTTCATCAGAAATGAATAGATTTTATGAGAAACATACACGATAATTTAAAAGTACCATAGAAAGAGAATCCAACGTTCAAATTTAGTTACTCGTTTAGTTAACCATTAATTGATATTGAATTGTATATAATTACCTTTTTAAATATATTGAACCTTGTTGCGATAGAAAAGTTGACAAAGTTGCCTCTATTTTTCTTTTAATTTCAGTCTCATTTGGCCACACAGTTTTAACACACTCTGAAACAAAAGATTTATATTAGTTAATACGGAAAGTCAACACAATGATGAAATTTGTAAGATGTGGTCAACCAATTGAATTATACTATGCAGGATGCCCCATGACGAGTATAGGTCATGGTCAACTACAGACATTTTTAAAGCTCTACAATAGGAAAAATATTAAGTAGCTAACATTTCAAAAACTAAACATTTTTGGAATAAACTACTTTATACAACACAGTTAAAAAAATCAAGGGTGTTCTTTTAAACAGTACTCAGTTTTTTCAATTGGATTTTTCATGTCAATATGTCAAAAAGGGCTTAGGTATAGGTATAGAACATTAGATTCTAAAATATTTTAGATGAATTCCTCATATTAACATACTGTCAAATTTTCAAAATATTCTAAAGCCTCCTTTTCTAGACATCCGGCATCCGTCGTGAGACAACCTGTATGTACATGCATGAACAATTATACTAAACATTTTTTTTTAAATATTGTAACATATAGTAAACAATTTTAGAATTACCTACAAAAGAATAAAAGATATATATTTTTAGAAACTCACTGTAAATTAATGTTGCCATTTGCAATGTTGAAAAACATTCTTTTGACTCAGCCTGGTCACGCCTTTGTTGACCCTTCCAACTGAACTTCTGGGCCACTGAAGTTGCCATTAATTGCTTTAAGGTCGATCTAGCAGTTTTCGAGATATTCGTTTTTTCTACATTTTGCAGAAGGTGTTGTAGCTATAAAGAAAAAAGTCTTTTGTTACAATTATAAAACATAAATAAACATAAATAACGTTCTGTCAAGCAACAGATATAATAAACGCATGTTTTAATTTTTTATGAAGAACTATTACCTATTGACATGTTTCAAAATGAACGTGACATACAAATATTCATCATTTTTCCATAATTCCCTTGATAACTGACAGAACGCTCTTAAAAGCAGGTTGATAATACTTTTATTACTACGAGCAAACATGACTACTTACGATTTTCATAAAAAAGTCTTTATCCTTTAGTCTTCCCTCAAAAGTGTTCACATCGTCCAGTGATTGTAAGGGAAATGCATAAGTGTCCTCATCCGATCCGGGACCTGGTTCTTCTACATATATCTGGTACTGATGATGCCTCCGACCTTTTGCTCATTATCTCCTGCCTTAAATCTCTAACCTTACTCTGCAAGCCATGTACACTCTCTAAAAAAAGAAAAATCAGTGTATTATATTAATGAAGTTGTTTTGTTTACTTGAAAGCTCGCAAAGGCCACGCGCCAATGACTCCAATGTCACTGGGTTTTGCAACGAGCAAAAATGCTTTTTTTTTGAGATTTCACATAATACTCGTACTTGAGTGACTTTTGCATTCCCTGATGGAGAAGGTTGTCGAATTTCTGAAGTAGCCGGATAATTGATCACGGGATGAGATGTCTCAGTACTTGAAAATGACAAATTTTTTTTGTACCGTGGTGATGTTCTGGGCGTTTTCTTACGAGGGGGTTCTGGATATTCTTCCGTTGAATCACTCTCAATGGACGGCGAACGTTTGCGAACACGGGAGATTCTTCGTCCAGCACCCCTCTCCTCAGTTTCGGACGCGCTAATAGACCGCCCCCCCCCCCTGTCAAACCGAATCGCATCTTTCATGCAGCGATCGAAACTTGCTGAAAAATAAAATGCCATTACTAGAAATAAAACCTAACATCGGCATTTCAAAGAAAAAAAAACTATACTTATGTGGATGGATAACGAACATTTGTTTTCAGTTCCTGAAACCATGGTTTCTTTGAGGGTTTATTCATAAACTTACCATAATTTTCTTTTACGACAGTGATTGGCACTTGTAACCAATCACTTTCTGGAGGTGTCCCATTCTTTGCCATTTTGGTAACTGTTGCTGTTCCCTTGTCTGGATAAACTGCTATGTTAGGGAACGTAATCCAATTCTTAGGAATTGCGTCAAGTTCATCATCGTTTTTTCGAATAACGGTCCACGTTATCTATAAATAAAAATCGAGATAAAAATCATTCACAAAAGAAACTTAAGATGTAGGGGACGTCCGCCAACAGTGGCCATAGCACGAACAGTGGCCACTTAAAATTAATTTCTAATAAACTTATTAATGCTTGCGCCCTCTGCACTAAAAGTGCCACACTGATGGGTAGTGTTCTACAACGAAGCTAAATGTCAATCGCACAACGCATGAAGAGACGCTTTCACCATTTGTGTTTTTGATGTGCAAAAGTAACGTTATATGTGAATTTCGTCAGTCTTTATTTTAGTAATTGGTGAGTAATTCGCCCACATTTTAATCCCTCTTGTAGCTTAATACATAGTACTTGTATAGCCATATGGAAATTGATGAGATACAATTATTTGTTTTGCTATTGCACAATTTGTTTTGCGAGGCAATTTTGATACAGTGGCCACATTGTGTATCAGCAACAGTGGCCACTGGTTTTACGAATAAAAATTGGTGGCCATTGTTCCTATCAAAACATATTCTTCTTATGCTAGAAAAAATATGCCCCGACCAAAGCCTGGAAAGACGGGAATTGGGAAAATTGCTCCAGAAATTATGAGAGCTGCCCTTCTCAGTATAAGGGAACATGGCCTTTCCGCAAAAGCCGCTGCAAAACGATATAATATACCAAGAACTACCTTAAGAAGATATCAAAAAAAATTTGAAGATGTTGAAGATGTAACCATGATCACTCATGGACTATCTCCTAATTATCAAATTAATAAGGTATTTACTTCTACTGAGGAAGACGAATTGTGCCGCTATCTCCAAATGTGCGCCAAATTACACCATGGGCTATCCCCAAAGGATGTGAGAAAGTTCGCGTATTCCTTAGCCATAGCAAACAAAAAACGCATTCCTCAATCTTGGCATGAAAACGAGATGGCCGGAAAGTACTGGATGACCGAGTTCCTTAAAAGAAATCCACTTTCTGTGCGAAAAGCTGAAGCAACCTCATTGGGACGTGCAATGGGCTTTAATAGACCTGTTGTTGAAAAATTTTTTGAAAATTTGAGGGAGGTACTTGAGAAACACAATTTTAGATCTGACAGAATCTATAACGTTGACGAAACTGCCTTGACCACAGTTCAAGAGGCGGGAAAAGTAATAGCAATGAAAGGCCAGCGACAAGTGGGTCAGATAACTTCAAATGAACGAGGAACCCTTGTTACAATGTGTGGTGCAATTAATTCTAATGGCAACAGTATTCCGCCCCTTCTTGTGTTTCCTCGTAAGTTTTTTAAGGACCACATGCTAAAAGGGGCTCCCAATGGAAGTGTTGGCGTAGCATCACCGTCAGGTTGGATGACGTCCGAGATTTTTATCCAGTGGCTTCGGCATTTCATATCTTATACCCAGCCAACGAAAGAGATGCCAATACTTCTCATAATGGACAATCACGTTAGCCATGTTTCGTACCAATGTATAAAAATAGCCAAAGAGAATCACATTACGCTATTAAGTCTGCCTCCTCACACCAGCCATAAGCTCCAGCCCCTAGACAGGGCTGTCTATGGTCCTTTAAAATCCTACTATAATAACGCCTGCCAGTCATGGTTACTGAACCATCCAGGTCAACGCATCACTATATACGACATCGCCGAAATTTTGGGTCAAATTTATAACCTTGCGTTCTCAACAAACAACTGTGTGTCGGGTTTTAAAGTAACAGGAATTTGGCCGTTTAACAGCAATGTTTTTATTGAAGATGATTTTTTGGCTGCAACAGTGACAGATTTGCCAAGCAACGAGGTAAAAGAAACAGAGTCAAGGATAACTGGCGAAAGGGAAAATTACCAAGAGGAAGAAGCAGGACCATCTCAGAAAAACTCTCAGACGCAGGAAACCAACCAACCACGAGAAGCACCACCAAATCACGGCAATCCAGAAAATGTTGAAAATAAGCCCCCGCCACATCAAATTATAAGTCCCGAAGTTCTCCGTCCTTACCCCAAAGCAAAGATTGTGAACACAAATAAATCAAAAAGGCAAAAAAAAAACCACAGAAATACTAACCAGCACTCCAGTGTTTAAAGAGATACAAGAACAGGAGATTGCGAAAGAACACCGAAGACAATCTTTAGTAAAGGTGAACACAAACACTAGAAGGAAGATTTATCCTGTATATTCTGAAAAGGAAAACGTAATCCCAAAAACTTCTGATAAACATCCAAGCAGTAGCAGCGAGTCTAGTGACGAAGATTTATCGCTTCCTGATTCTGACGATGTTGATTTTGCTGAAGATCCAACAGATATAAACGAAGCAACTGAAATTACAGTTGGAGGATTTGTTTTAGTTAAGTTTCCTACAAAAAAACAGGTGAAATTTTGTGCAGGCGAAGTAATTCAAATTGACTCTTTGCATAACGAATATGTGATTAACTTTTTACGTAAGCGAAATCAGAACAAGTTTTCTTTTCCTGATGTTGCTGATCAGTCGGTTGTGTCTGAAAGTGATATAATTATGTTATTACCAGCTCCAGTATCAACGGGTGGAACGGCAAGAGTTAAACGTAACCTTCAGTTTTCAGTTGATTTATCACGTTTTAATTTGTATTAATGTTTTTTTTGCATTATCGAGTAGATATTCTGTAACATTAATTTTTTTTATTAAAATGCTTTGAATTTTGAAATATAGCATATGTCCATTGTACCTTAACTTTTGTGGCCAGTGTACCTTACAGGATTGGTACAGTGGCCACAGAAGTCATATTTTCATAATTTAAGTTTTCTTCAAAATGGGCCAGTAAATTTAAATGACAGCCGTGTGTACATGATATATAGGTACATAGTGTATTAATATTTAAAATACAGAAACACTACAAAATATTTCCAATTTTTGAGTTATCCTAAAATAATAATTAGGGTGGCCACTGTTGGCGGACGTCCCCTACTTTTTAAAAATTCATAACTTAACAAGTGTTTTTTAAAGAAAAACATATAGCTAGCTATTCCAAAAAAAAATGGTTAAGCATAGTATAACATTGGACAAAACTAACTTTACTTACACAAGCATCTGTTGTACTAAGGAACTCTTAGGAAATGAAAGGAGTAATGACAGGAATTTATTGAGAGGTAAATGTATTTGAATGTAATAAGGGAAATACAACAAACCCTTCTTCAAATGGCAATCGCACAAACTTGTATAAAATATCTGTCACTTTCCAGATTTGCCTTTCTGATAAATTACAGACTTTAAAAATATTTAGGTTAGAGCTAGGGCATAATGGTTCCGAGAAAAAGTCAGTTTTATCAAGGTACTTCCGTCCTATTATTACTTCTGTTGTCAATTCGTCCGAGAAGGCAATATTTTCAACAATAATTACATCACTATCAACACAACAACAGCTATCTGCACTTGCAATCGTTATTTGATAAAGTGGAAACAGAACTGATTTGAATTGCGGTTCCCGACAAGAAGGAGCCAATGGACCATTGTGGTGTGGATTTTTAAAGATCGGTATCGAATTTGCAGATGGCTGTTCATACATATTTTTAATGTGACCGAACGAAAATAGTTCTGATATTCGGCGCGCAATCTGTTGTAAGGGTTTCGCTTTTCCTCTTACCAACTTTTTAAAAATTTGTAGGAAATTTTCAAAGGGAAAGCTTGAAACATCATTTAAACTGAAATGAGTAATGAAATTACCAAAATATTCAGCGTCATCCACAATATGAATAAGATTATGAAAATTGTGTGTCAAAAGTTTAGGACTATATAATTTTGATGTTAGTTTCACAAAATTTATTAATAATTGTCTGGCATATTGACGCATTGAGTGTGATGCACAAAAACGTGGACTTAACAACACAGTCATGGCAACATGAAGGCTCAAAAAATGAAAATATTGTTTCTTTGGAAAAAGAGATTGATTGAGAATAACGGGAGCCAAATATAAAAGGAAAGCACGAAATTCAGTAGCTTTCCACCTTGGTAATGCCTTCAGTTCTCGTGGCTTTCGAGCAAACTCAGATGGCATATAATTTTTAAGATTAATTAAACCTTCAGACATGGCCATTCTTATTTCCACACGTACTAAAAAGGGTCTTGGTCCAAACGCCCACAAGGTGTAACAGTATTTCTGTACAGCTTATTTAAACTGTTATTTTTACGTGATTCAAGTGTCCAGTCTAAATGTAATCATGACTCCCAAGTATGAATGATGTGACTGAATGGGAATGCATTTAAAGGAGAATTGTTTATTTTAAGTTATTGTAGCTGAATGTGCATTTCAAAGATAGCCGCTATGACGCAGAAGGAGAATTGAATATAAGTAAATATCGCGACGTAATTAGAATTGCATTCATCGTATGTAAATAGGTAAATTAGGGTACAAACCTGCATAGAAATAGCGAGTATTAACGCTAAGGTCAAAGTCCGAGTCATTGGGCTCATTCAGGGACGGTCAGCGGCCAAGTAGCTTACTAAGCAATTACCCTGAATGCGTCCGCTGACTTAGAATTCTGTGTCAGCGGCTGACAAAATAGGTTAGCACTTAAGTTTTCAGCTGTTTGTACTCAGCGCCGTCAGCGTTCTCGTCATAACCTCACAAAAGAACTGCAAAGTGCAAACTCATATGCGAACTGCATTAAAAATAACCTAAACCTTTCACGCCAAATAGTTATTACTTGTAGACCAGTGTGCAGGACAAGATGAACAAGGTAGTTATTGTGGAAAATTACGTCGTCGGTAAAAATAATACCATACGGTTGCGGCCGGTACCCACACCTTCAACAAGTAATTATTTAAATTACCAAAACGATACTACAGTCGATGAAAGTGAAGTTGATGCGATGTATAATGAAGGTGCAAACTATACACGTTATTCCTGTAATGCATTACTTACGACTGTTTTAGAGATCGAATTAGAAGGTGGTGACACAAACAATTTGGATGCTGTGCAAGATGCAGAAGCTAGTAAAGAAGGTAGGTGAATACCAATTAATACATGTACTAATAACATATTTTATAAGGTGAAAAATTTAGATGGAGTCGCCAAAGCATTCTGTTCTTCATAGATGAATACGAAAAGTTAATCGAAAAATTTAGAAATCCGAAGTATAAAAAAAAAGATCTGTGGAATGAGATCGCAGGGAAAATGAAGAACAAAGGATATACAGTGTCATCTGACGCACTTGATAAAAAAATGCGTAATATGCGTAGTACCTACATAAAAATTTTAGATAATAATAAGACTAAGGTCGCTACAGGTAGAGGTAGGATAGCATGGGAATATTTCGATCGCTTCGAGGAAGTATTTGCCCGTGATAAAAGTGTGAAACCTGTCAATGTGGTGGCCTCTTCACAGCCGCCAAAGACACCAATTGTTATTACTGAAAATGGATCATCACCACAATCGACACCAACGCATGCCTCATCTGTACAAGCATGTACGCCACAACTTTCATCGAAGTGGAAACGATTAGACGTTTTTCGTAAAAAACAATTAGAAATAGAAGCCAAGAAGGTAGAAGAGATTAAAAACATTAGAATTCAAATGGAGACCTTTAATGAAATTCAGAAGAAAAAATTAGATCTGTTCGAAAAATATTTAAATTCACCTCCAAATTCACAAACATAACTTTTCTCATGTTTTGTAAAATGCTTATGCTTACTTTGTATAGCGACATATTTATGAACGAATAATGTGTTTTATTATAAGTACATATACCTATTACAATAGTGAAGCTATATAATCTCTTTTTATTTCTGCATTTCTTCCAACATCTTCCTCATAAAATTCTGCATGCTGTATACCTATGTCATCACCATTGTGACCATTGTCATTCTGGTTATCTGCATCATTATCGATGATCAGAATAAAGTTATGCAGAATACAAGCTGCCAATATAACTTGAGGTAGTTTATCTGCTAGAGACATATCAAGATATTTTAGTCTTCTCCATTTTCCTGCAAAAAGAATCAGGTTTGTTCTCTTTTGAGCATATTCATTACCTTTCAATAGACCAAAGCACCTTTCGATCATCGACCGTATGCTACTCATCACTTCGTTAAACCGAATTTGTACTTCTGTAAGGTGGCCATTATCCCTGTATGGTTTTAAGAGATTATCAAGCAGCGGATAAGCTGCATCTCCGAGTAAGTGTTGCTGTGGTGTTAATAAAGCAGGATTGTTTACAAGTCTATTATAGATTGGGCTATTTCTAAAAATTCGCGCATCATGCAGTCGGCCTGGCATACCAATATATACATCTGTAAATATTAATTTATCGTTGCAAATTCCTTGTAAAACCACCGAGTGTACATCTTTTCTATTAAAGAAATCTACGGGGTTATGTGTTGGTTGTTTTATTTGTATGTGGGTTCCATCTATAGCACCCACGACACCTGGTATGCCTGGTAAATATATTATTTAGTTACCTATAGGTATTGGGGATAGAGTGGGACTCTGGAGTGTGATATAATAGCGACTTTCATCATACTCCTAGGAGTATACTCAAAGGTAGCGATAGTAGGGGCCGCCCCAAGATTTACACATGCTTTCCCTTTTTGGGTTAAAGTAATTATTTCCTCTCCCCAACTCTCAGTACTACCTTTATACGTGGTCCTAGTGGCAAACGTGTGAAATTTTGGGGCAACTCCTATTACAGGTACTATATGAGACCCCAGAGCCCTACTCTAACTACACATATTTACCATATTTTGTTTCTATTCTTGATGCTATTTCGTTACATGTTCTCGCATTTGGCCACTCAATAAATTGGTGCGTTAAATGACCCACCGCAGAAATAAAATTCATAAAAATATAGTGGCCTGATCCACTCGACAGATTAAATCTGTCCCCGACAGCCAAGAAGCTTTCTTGCTTTGCCAGAAGCCAAATGGAAAAAAGAACTTGCTTTTCAATCGGAACCGAATGTTTATCGGGTAAATGATTACTAACAAGACCTATTAGCTGCTCCACTGCCATCCGGGACATTCGAAAGTGATTCTTGAACTCACTAACTGTGTACTGGGGTACTGTAACTTCAACGTAATTTTCATTACGCACAGGCTGCGCATGATGATTGGCCTCATCATCAACCGCATTATCATCTAGAATATACACTACGCCGTTTAAGTTTACATCGTCGTTGAATAAGAAATCCACAATATTTGGTTCGATCATGTTAAAAAATTTATATTTTATAACATAACCTCAAATGCAAGTGGCACTCATCAGCTTAAGTGTGTCATTCAGGGAACATGGGTGGCTAACCTTAGCAACTTGTTAGCCATCTAAGCATCAGCCGTCAGCTGCTGACCGTCCCTGAACGCGCCCATTGTAAATAATTAGTTGAGAGCTAGTAGAGCGATTCAAATCTGTCTATTCTCTTCCGCTGCCAAAGTGTCAAAAGCTTAAGTCACGGGCGTTCAAACTATTTATACATGTGCGAGTTTGCGCGATAAAGCAAATTGAGGTCAGTGGATACTAAGTGAGAAAGTATAAATACGGGGGTTTCAAGCACCAGAAGGGAGTTGCCCGTCGCCGTTTTTCGGAGCAACATCTATGTCAGTCGCGCCCGCAAATTACAAGCGTGCAGTTTAATAAAGCGTTAAGGCGACTTTTATAAGAAAAGCAAGCAAAAGAACCGAGTGAAATAATCTCCATCGAGCCAGCATAGGAGACGAAAACGTTTCTTCCCAGCGCGCCGAAGAAAATTGGAAATTTACGAAATTACAGAAAGCAAGGATTCCGTTGTCGGTACGTGCGCAATCCAGCTGGAGAGTACCAAACTGAGATCGAGATACACCAGCCTGCCTGTGATTGGTCCAGCTCAAAAGCGAACAGCAACCTGCAGTGGGCGGTCCGAATTCATTCGACTTCCACATCGATCGTGCGACAAAGTGACCAAGTCCTGGTGCACTTATGAACTCGAGGTATTTGTAGACAATAGTTCGTTGTAGTTCGCCTCGTTGTAGATTCATTAATTCGTTGTAGTTCGCCCCGTTGTAGATTCATTATTTCGTTGTATTTTTATTATTACAAAACTATTATAAATTGGTATGTTTGTAAAGGCGATTTAAATTACCTACTAGTGTTGCGTTCAATTTAGTGCTTATCAGCACTATTTGCATTCATTTAAACGACTCGAACCTAAAAGCGTTACTACACGCATTTACAGCAGTTTTGTGGTGACTTTCGACTAAAGTGGATAAGAATTTATGAAATACGAATTAATTTTCTTTCTGTACTCGGCGGTTTTGAGAGTAAATACCTTGATTTAATTCACATAATAAATACATATTTTCCTTTATATGCAGTGACTTTTTGTGTATGAATGAGTTAACTCTATTTTCACAGGATGTACCGCCTCACCCCCATTTCTTTTAATATGTGTTACTTACAGATAAAAGGCGATTTCTAAGACAAAAAGAACCCAACAGGTTTTAATAAAGATTATTGATTTTTATTCATTTATCCTTTCCCCTCTCCTTGAGGCCAGAAGAATTATCGACTGAAGCTAGCCGGCGCCCAACAACCCTTAATGTTTATAGGAAGAACCACCCCCAAGGAAAGGATTTTAAGAAGAGATTGTAAAGAGAGTAGGAAAGTAACCAGCCGGTTACAAAGGATAATAACGTCCTAACTACACCTAAACAAACGAGATGCATGTAGTCCAAGGCAAACGAATTAACAAAATCTAATTGAGGTACTGCAACCAGTGGGGTAGAACGATTCTCAGGTTGATAGTGAGGATCAATCCGATTTCGAAAACCTTCATCTGTACGTTTTGCACAATTTAGATCTTTAAATATTCTGCGATTTTCGAATGTTTCGCCTTCTACAGTGCACCTCGTACAACTAAAAAAACCTGTATGAGTTATTACACCTAATATGTACGCTTTAGCAGGAGCATCACAACAAAATCCTAAAAGATTAACCTTAACTGCATTATTGTTATAAATAATTGGATTATTTAACACATCCACCAGCTCCTCTAAAAATTTATTTAAATATAAACCCAAATTATGTGGTTTTCCATCGCCATAATAAATACCAATAGGAAATACCTTATTTTTTAATTCTGTTGAAGATGGGATCTCCATCAAGATGGGCCACAACTCTCCTTTGCCGCTTTTAAATAATGGTAAACCATCCACATTAAATAAAACATGTATATTGCTAATTGGACGAGATAACAAACTTAAAGCAAGACTTATTTGAATTTTTAAGCCAACATGATAGTATTCACCAGGTGGAAGAGGGTAGATATTTAAATCACTTCTAGGAGTTTTCAGTATAGTCCTTGCATCCGTTGGCAAATCAGAATAACATTGAGGATGAATTGCTTTTAATCCTTTGCATAATTTTGACAATGAGGAATGCGGAATATTCTCCTCTAAACTCCAGTTCCTAAGAAAATTTATTACTGCTTTTGTAGTAGCATTACCACATTCCTCTGATTTATAATCGTCATCAGATGAAGGAGCTATATCAAGGGGACCACTATGCCCTGCATCCTCGGATGTATCACTATCACTACTGTACAAAAATGGTGTATTAAGCTCATCGGCATGAATAGCAGTGGATATTTCATTTACGGTTGTGCTCGGGTCAGTTTCGGATGAAGAAGGAAAAACATCATGGACAGGAGAAGATTTACTGTAATGGAATGGTGAATGGGAACATGAACTATTTTCACTACTAGACGAAGACGAATCTTCCGTATGGTAGTTTCTATCGCTTTGACGTTTTAAGCGTTTCCATTTCCCTGATTTTGATAATAAATGGTATGGTTGTGTCAGTCGTTTATTATCCATTATTAAAAGAGAATCTGAAAGAGTCGACTATGATGAAATATTCCCCCGAAACATTCTACCTGTTGAGCTGGTCAGTTTGTTATTCTTATTACCAAAGCCAGGTTATAGGTATTAGTCACAAAATACTAATCCTAACGCTAAAGTTTATACGTCTGTGGTTTGTGTTGTGGATACGGGTGAAAGTAAAATAAATACTTAAATATAATTTATTTTAGAATCAAAAATGTATCTTATGAATCGCTGAACCGAACTCGCCTTATCTTTACAAGTGTTGTGTATACCTACTCTCCGAAACTACCGATTGTGTACCACATGTGCAGCAAATTACATTTCGGATGACTCCAAGGAAGTCATGAATTATATGAAAGCTTCTATTTCTTAACTCGTAAATAACACCCTTGTCGGTTAAAGAATATACCCTTAATATTTAAACTACTTGTCGGTTCAGCGTGTTATGCACATTTGTGCAACGTAATCACAAGAGGTTAATTCCGGAAGTTTCGTCCGCTACACGTCCATAATTAATATGCATTCATAATAATTATTTACTAAATTACCTAGGTAGATATTGCCAATTGTTTAAAGTAGGTATTTAAACAATGATATTGCTAAAGCTAATAGAGTAAAATGTAAGGTTGGGTATAGGGAATGCAATCCCGCAACAAAATCTCAATCCCGATATTTGCGAGATCGTTCGATGTTAATTCCGCGGGTCGTATTTGCGGGATTCCGCAAAATTTTAAATAAATTGCCAAATAAGCAATTTTGTGCGGTTAACTTCTGTATTTAATTAAATCGCTTATTACACAAAGTTCAACAGAAAAGTACCTTCAGCCTAAATTAAAACTCAAAAAAACCTTACTTGTAAAACACAAAAATCATAATAAATTTCTAACAAAAGAAAGTTTAACGATTATTTTGAAAATGACTTCTTCGTTATGCGTTTCATTAATAAAGTAAACAGAGTCGTCCCGTTGGTCGACAAATTCTTCAATCCCGCGGGATCCCGCTCCATTTATGTACGTGATTAATCCCGCAAAAATGCTGCGGGATCCCGGTATTTCGGGATCCCGCTATCTCGGTATTGCATTCCCTAGTGGGTATCAAACGAGGTATCAAAGCAAGAAAGCGATATCATGAATTGGAAATAAGAATTGTAGTTTTAAATGCATCCGAATTTTGGACTTACCTGTTGACTGAGATTGTTCATACTCATTGCACAAAAACACACACTAAGGGCCGGTTTATTCAAGCTCAAGTAAAGTTCAAAGTAAGTTACTGGTTCAAGTAAGAGAGACATCTGGTATATTCACAGCCAAGTAAATTTACAGGGGCGTGTAAATAGCTTACTGGTAAAGTAAACTTATAGGCTACTTCAATGCGCCAGTAAGGTGTTACTTCAGTTATTCTAATCTCACACTTTGTATTGTATGTAAACAATGGACGTTATCGACGATATTTTGTTATTTAACGAAATGGATATTATTAATAACATTGAAAGGCGACCCTATAATACAATTAATACATTTCGTCACGTCGATAACTTTCACGAGTGGGATGAAACTGATTTTGTAAGACGGTTTAGATTGTCTAAAGCTTCCGTCCTTGTAGTATTAGAGTTAATACAAGGTGATATTCGGGCTCGTACTAACAGGTAAGTGCAAAAGTATACATCTGTGATGATGGTATGTAATTACGTGTTTTTTGTCAGGAACAATCCCATAGCTCCATTGCAGCAGTTGCTTCTTACGCTTCGCTTTTTTGCAAGTGGAAGCTTTTATATAACCGTGTCAGATTTCGGCGGAATACATAAGAGTACTGCGGCACAAATAATAAAGAGAACCGTAACTGCCTTGTGTCAATTACGCCGGGACTATATCTATTTCCCAAGAGATCCAGAAGAGCAACATAATGTCAAAGCAAAATTCTGCAACATTGCAGCATTTCCAAGAGTTCTTGGAGCCCTTGATGGTACCCACATCCGGATTCAATCACCAGGTATGATCAAAGTTTAAGTACCTAACTACTTACCTACATGTAATAATACATACATAATTTCTTTTCACCAGGTGGGCAACAAGCCGAGACATTTAGAAATAGGAAAGGATATTTCTCATTAAATGTTATCAGTGATGCAAAGCACTACATACGAAATATTGTCACTCGATGGCCTGGATCAAGCCATGACGCAAATATATTTGATAATTCACTCATTCGAATGCAATTTGAAAATGGGGAAATGGGCAATGGACTGCTATTAGGCGATAGTGCATACCCCCTCAGATCGTATCTAATTACACCTATTAACAATCCCCAAGGTGAAATAGAGACCCTGTTTAATGAATCGTTAATCCGCACGAGAACTGTAGTGGAGAGAACTTTTGGCATTTGGAAGCGGCGTTTCCCTATACTATCCGTAGGAATGAGGTGTCGTGTTGAATTAGCACAAAATATTATTGTCGCCACAGCAGTAATACATAACATTGCACGTCAAGAGAGAGATGCCATTGACGATTTGGAGGATGACCCACTAATAGAGAATGTACTGGCTCCTCCACCTAGGAATGACAATGATAACCACCATCATAGAAGAGAGTTATTAGAATATTTTGAACAGTTGTACAATCATAGAAATTAAAAGTAACTTTATAAAATAACTGAATTTTAATACAAATTTTACAAACAAAATTGCTTTTGTAATAATTTTTGTTTCAATTTTAAGATCTCCATTTCTAACTCATGCTTTGCTGTTTCCCTTTCACGCCTTTCTTTCATGAGTTGTAACTCTTCCTGTCGCACTTCTTTTTCCAATTCCACATTTGCCAACTGCAATTTAACCAGCTCCTCTCTACTGTTTGCTAATTTACTGAATTTTTGTTCTAGATTTGCTTTACGGTTTGTTTTTTGTTGCAAAGCTTTGTGAGGTGGTTCTTTCATTTTTTGTGGGGTCCACGATTGCCAACCAGTTGCATTTGTTGCTAGATACAATAAATACTCATTTCAATTAAGGAATTAAAATGAAAGGAAGCACTTACCGACATCACTTGCACTTGCTTCAATTGGAGTTGCTTCTTCATTTGGCATATCTATCTCGATGGGGATATCCAAAACATATGCAACGGGTTCTAAATGAGATGTAGCTCTGGTGATGTTATTACACCCTACAATATACAGTATACAGGTCTTATTTATCCCTTTGTAATTACCACAAATTACTTTCATCTTCACTAAGTTCTGCTGTCGACATTGGTGCATCGATTACAATCGGTTGAGTACATTCGACTGGTTCTGGTGGTGGAATAACAGGAATTTCTAAATCTGCAGCACTTTTGTAAATAATGTAATAGGGTCTTTTTAATTGTTACCTTTATCACAATCATTTTGCGTGTGTAATCCGTCCACTTGCGTACTTATAATAGCTAGCAGCTTCTCTTCGTAGTCAGTATAGGTCACTGTATCGGGAGGGCCTCCACCAGTCCGATATAATCCACACTTCTCTTTACTACGTTTCTGCTTGAGACTTCGTTTTATGCCTTCGTATTTTATTTTTAACATTTTAGTTGATCGAAACGTGGATCCGCTGTTTGCATTAAATGCACTTTCGAGGTTGATCCACGCGTCCTCTTTCTGTTTGCATGTCACAGCATCAGTTTGTTTATTTTCAATAATTTTTTTCCGTTTGCAAACTTCGTCTACTAGTAACCTTGATTCAGCCACTGTAAAATTCGAAGATCGTGCCCGTTTTTTGTTATCACTAGCTGTAAAAAGATGTTGTAATAGTAGTGAATATTCCGTAATTGGTAAAACTTACCTGTATTTGCATCCATGGTACCGGTACGTAGAATAACTAATACCATTGAATATAGTGTTTTTATTCAATGCTAATACCGAACAAGTAAAAGCCATAGAACTGTATACGTAGTAACTGGAAAGGACTCGCGTCAACCGAAAAGTGAGGCAAGTCGCGTGCTTAGGCAATTCGTTAATCTTTAGGATTCCCATCTCACTTTTACACGAGCGCTTTAATGGAAGTGTTGTTGCGTCACGAGATAAAATCGATAATTACTTAACCAAATAATGGTAGAAATATTTTAGTTTTGTTTGTTACGTTATCTAAATACTTTAAGGTATTATCACGACAAAGTATACGCAGAAATTACTTCCAGTTTATACTATTTAATGCGTGTAAAGGTTAAAGTTCCACCGTCATCGCGCTCTTACTCATTTAAGGATCAGCTGTTTCGTTTTTTCTATGTAGCAAATAATTGTAGTTAATTATGCGAAAGAAATGTACCTACTACAATGAGAGCTTAATTATACTTACTTGGGTTTGGAAAATATACTAGGTAATAAATAAACAGAATGTCAACATTTATTAAATATACAAGTGAATCATAATAAACACATAGGTAGGTAATGTAAGTACTTACATTTAACAATGTTTGAACAAAACCATTTTGGTTAATTTATGGCGTATAGGAGCTGCATTGCCATGCATTTTAAGATTTATAGTTTTTGCATGGTGATACATCCTGCACTTCATGTAGATATCTACTATTTTTTTAATTAATTGCAATTCATGCAAATCCTCTGATATAAACTCTTCAACAATGGGGTGCTGCGGTATAAACAAAAGCAACTTATCACTAAAATATCTTACTGTGGAATTTTTAATTTTTAATTTGTTAATTTTCTCTACAGTAGAGACCCGAAAATTTTTTTCCAAAAATGTAATAATATTTACAACAATTTTGGAAGGTTTACATAGGTTTCCTCTATTTATAATGGTAAAGAATTTCTCAGATTCTGAAGAACATATATAATTGTGATCCCTTACATGGGCTGAGCTTTGATGTGTTAATATTTCAGCGCACGCGACACATCTTATTTCTTTTAGTAATTTATTAGCTACATATCCACCTATATAGTACAAAATATTTTCATGGTAGTAGTTTAATTGTACATTACCAAGTTGATATAAAAATGCATCACTTTCATTGGCCGAAGTAGAATTACCCATACCAATGTTTTCAGTCAACCGTCTTTCCTCTGACTGAAATTCAAAAATTGGAGAACAAAGACTGTCATAATCTATGCAATTTGCCGATTGACTTGCTTTTACAGAATTTTTAAGCAACATTTGGCGTAACGCCCATTTTAACTGTTGCGTATTTGGGTTATTATTACGTCCCCCACGGCTTCTCAAGCATGAGAACAATAATTCAATATGATCCTGCGAACATTTATACGTCAGTAAATAGTTTAAAGGCGATTCACAATTAAACATATCGTTAGCCAACGCTAGAGTGCTTTTCATTGTAATAATAAAGCCTACCACAAATGTCTTTCTGGGATGATTTAGAATTGGAATATTGTCGACATACAAGGATGAAAGATACTTTATAGTATCTTCAAAAATAGTACGAAAGTAGTTTAATGTGTTTGGCCTGATTGGCGATTTAAACCCTCTACCAAATGGATTTCTTGCATTTAGTATGTCAAATATTTTATCTACTATTCGTATATATTCGATTGTCGCTGAACAGTCTACAAAATCCTTATGATTACTATGTTGTAAAAATTGCAAAGCATCAGCTACACCACTGCTAAGCGCTTGAGCTGCAAGTTTCACATTCATTACTTTGTTTTTAAAAAGTACGTGATTAGATGTTAAAGAATTAGCAAATGTTAACTGAAGCTCTTCTTGCAATTGATCCAATTTTTGAATATATTTCCAACTAATTATACCTTTTTCAGATTGGAGACCCTTGTCTGCAAAAGTGTTTCGTGCTAGTTTTAGCATGTGACAGGTGTCAAGTATAAAATAAACATTGTAGTTAGCACATGGGTGTTTCATATAGCTTTTATGGTTATCGGAGGAAAAATTCATTCCTAAATTTTTAAATGTAAGTAAGTTTGTGGCAGTTCCATCACAAGTGATTGATCTTACATTAATATTTACATCAAAAAGATTCCTTAAACATACTGTTATTATTTGTGCTTGTACGTTAGCATCGCATTTATTGATGAGAAAATATGCTATAGGGCATTTGAAATTTCCTCTTAAGCTAACTATTTGGAAAAAAAGAGCTTCAGTTGCTGGAGACTGGCTTTCGGACTCTATAATACCATTGTAGTCTATGTAACCTGTGTATTTCCCTGTACAGTCATCCCAAATAATTTGTTTTCGAATTGACATGCTGTCAAATATTAGTGCACAATCTTTCAAGTACGGTTTTTCTTTGGAGTTTGTTTTTAGAAAATGGAATACTTCATCCAATAAACCTGGCTGGCAATTGACGTTGGTCAACCACTTACGTATGGTTCGTCCATTAGGCAAAATAAAATGTTGCTTTACAAAATTGTATGCCTTTGGTGAATAAAAGTATAACGTATGGGCAAACTGTTTCATGGCAGTACTGTACCTTCGCTGTGTTTGATTAACTTCTTTAAATTTTTTCTCGTGAAGTATAATCTCTAATGGCATTCCTAAAATGAAACCAATGGAGTGATTAGTCAACTGAAATTGTCACAGTTGAAATACTGACCTTCAAAGTGGTGCCTCAAAACATTTTCTAAATCGTCATTTATATATGAATTGTCTTTCAGTTTTTGAATGAGTTCCTTCACATTAGCAACTTTCACGTTTCTGCGTTTTACCGTTTGTTTTAAGGATTTAATTTTTCTGCGAAGGAATTGCAATTCTCCATCCACATTCCAAGATGTTTGAGTTGCCTGTTCACATGTTTCCTGCTTGGTTTTAGTTTCATCTAACTGACTATCCACCTCCATGCTTATCTCAATATCTGTTGAAACGGAAGTAGAAGGAATTGGTTCGTCAGTAGACTTCTACAAATGTATCTTTGATGAAGTGGTTGGGAGACATTATGTTGTAAAAAAACTTACTGATATTTTTAAGACTCTTCGGTCAGAAGATGTTTTTATTAAATGCTTTGGGTATTCCGGAAAAATACTTGGAACTGCATCTGGTTTTAATAACTTTAGATTTCCTCCTGGCCTGACTTTATAGTCGCTTTCTCTAAAATGCCGACTACATACTTTACTGGTTCTTGAAGGTGTCCAGTTTTCTCTTCTAATAGCCTGAACCCACTGTTCAAAAACTTCGTGATTCCTAAATGGAAATCTAAAAAATAAAACCAAACGCGTCATGTATGGTACAAGTACAAAATTTGCGAATTAGTTGCTAATTATTTATTATAAGTCAATTGTATGTTGATCACGATATGCAGTACGATTGCAGAAACCGCAACTTTAACTTTTAATGCCTTTTACCATTTGTACCAAAAAAAGTTAAATCAAGTTCCAACAATTATTATTATGGATCTTAATCCACGAATGTAAAATATGCTTAAATTTGTTGGTAGAAAGGATCATTAGTCACACACTTAACTATACTTAGTAATTAGGTACACATGACTTAAACTAATTCTAAAACTTAAATTCCTGGTTTAGGTAATAAAAATAAATTGTAATTTTTAAGATGTAATACTTACCCATGAAAAGAAATGGGATTATTTGTGCCGTGAACAACGGTGCATCCAACAACTACACAATTGAGCACCATGATGGTTACTGCAAGTTCTACACTTGATTACAAACAAAAACAAATGTATGACT